TGTGGAGCCTGGGGGTTGCTGGTAATCAATCTTTTGCTCAAATATGAAGACTTTATATATTTCTTATACCTACCTATACTAATATATTATTGCTAACTCGTAACTAGCTTTTCAAAATTTACCTTATATGCATTTCTCTCTTTAGCATGCTTTTCCTAAGCCGGTATGAGGTAGAGATCATGTTTGCATACATCTTACCCCTCCTAAACCCCACACATCAGGATGGGATATATTGAGTTCGTTTGATTTGGTTTGCTTAGAAATAATCTGAAGACTAATAGGGCAAATGATCCATAAATGATTATTAAAGAATTGGAATTCTATAATTTAGATACATGTGTAATGTTCACCATCTAAATCACAATTACGAAATCAAGAAAATAAATGGAATAGAAAAGGACTGCATACATCTTACTTCCATCGCAGGGACTGTCTTATCCCGGTGTAGATGAGTCCTAAAGATCGCCCGATCAAGCAAACCAAAAAGAACGAGACAGCATCGCTGATTTTTGCAAAAAGGGTTCGTATGAATGGCATTATGATATCAGCCGATTCAAGGAATAGACTACAGTAGTACCTCCTGCAGTGSAGAAAACCGGTTAAAAATGTCGGATGTGGAATGCTTTATTCTCGAAGCTGTTGAASGGGAACATTACCTACTAGAAGTAAAAACAAGATACTGTTTATTTAGGTAGCGTTCAGTTTATAATTTTTKATGCTACTATAACAGAAATGAAGACTTTGACCCAAACCCGGGTGTTCAATGTAACAAAAGCACCCACGGTGCTCCGTTTTTGTTCGTTTGGGGTGTGTTTGGTATGCACACGGGACTACAAAAGCRAGAGTGAGGTAGTCGAGTGAAARAATTGTGGAAGATTTTAGGGTTWTAATTTGGCATGGGAAGTGTAGTAATTAATCAATCTTGTCACATCTTCTTTGATTTTTGTTCCACCCACTTAGGTGGGACAAAAAAGTTGCAATTTGTCCCACTCGATCCTATGCTAGTATAATGTCGCACCAAGCATGGGACAATAAGTTTTTATTCTGTCGGGTGAAAGAGTTGTGGAAGGTTTTAGGGTTTTAATTTGACATGGGTAGTTTAGTAATTTACCAATCTTGTCTTATCTCCCTGRTTTTCGTTCCACCTATTTTGGTGGGACAAAAAAATGCAATTTTGTCCCASTCGGTCCTGTCCTAGTATAATGTTGTACCAAGCATGGGACAGGTTTTAAGGTTTTAATTTGACATAGGTAGTTTAGTAATTTATCAATCTGGATTCATCTCCCTGATTTTTCATTCCACCTATTTTGGTGAATTTTTGTCCCACTAAGTCTTGTCTGTCCCAATATAATGTCGTGTCGTACGTGGGTTGGTAAGTTTTTGTTCTTTTATGTCCTGTCTCCTCCTGTCCAAGTACCAAATGCACCCTTGTGCATATTGGTAGGACTGGTTATACAAGATAATTCGACGGGAAGCAACGATATTCATGATTAGCAACAGAAAGAAAAACATACCATCCCGTAAGGGCCCTTAATTCTTTGGTTCGCTTGACAGGTATAGAGACATAGCTGATTACAAAAGCACGAAACGGAGCCGTTACGGGTCTAGACTTTCTCAGGTTAAGATTCTTCAACCAGCCAAACTTTTCAGCCTTGCCGTTGCTAGGTTCGACAATGGTTCGAGTCTGGAGCATGCGTAAGTCAAGTCGGTCCTCGTACATAGATACAACTGCCTCCATGTTCTGATATAACCAYTGGTTCAGTGCCACCTGAAGATAAAGGATGCAACTTCTAAGGGGCCGTTTACCAAACATTTACCCGGGTAAATGCTTACCGGCAAAATTTAACACTATCTATCACTTWCTTACCGGGTACGATCTTAGTCCACCAAAAAGGTATTGTATGCAACAATTTACCCGGTAAGCGCTAACTGTGGTAAGAGTCGTCGCCCTCACTTACTTGCCTTCGCTCTTACCAKGCAACATTCTTGGTCCTTGCCATATTCATCCGATAAAGTAATGTAACTTGGTAAGCGCTTACACGGGTAGGTGTTTGGTAAACGACCCCCAAGTAAAAGATACAAGATGGAAAATCCGGAAATCTTTTTCGTTTTCACAATTTGTTCCCACATATCATAGATGCCTTAAGRAAGGCAAAATGCATCAAAATGCARCGAGGTTRTCTTGGTTCCAATTTAGTGTAACAAACGATTTTTTTCTCAATTAATGTAACAAAGTTYCAAATTTCCTATTTTAACTCGCATTGACGAGTAACCGGCTGTTTGGTTGGTTTTCCATCAAGTCTTTTATGAATAAAGTTGTTTGTGTGGATTTATATGTCTGTATAGATAGGGAAGATTTTTGTTTAGAAGGGTTTTCCATAAATGGAATGAGCGTGTTATTTATTGRGAATGACAGGTTTGGGAAAAATGTCTTTTTGCATTAAGCTCCCCACTAGAAGCTTACTGAATAAGCCACTTTTTATATCATTGAGCCACTACCGAACAGTCAAGTATAGCTGACCGAATAAGACGTGAGTTCCATTAAGCTCATTAAGCTGCCAACAAACAGGCCCTAATTCAGCAAAGGATAATTTTCCTGATGGTATCTAGGTTACCGGTAGAGCCTAGCCTCCGTGGAGGTCGAAGGGTTCAAGCCTCACCAAAGATGAGAAGTGTGTGTGAGTATTTTCCGTATATAAAATATTATATACTTCAAAAAAACTTGTTGATCTTTTAACATTTGATGTTGTAAATGTCAAGTTAATTGTCCACTTCGCCGTAACCCTTTCATAAACATCTCGTATACGGTATACCATGCATAAACTTTTTGTAAACAAGTATCCACATCATCATATGTTACAAGATCAACAGGTTACCGATCAAAGTTGGTACAAAATAGGAAATTTTCTTTGTCACATCGATTGAGAAAAAATATTCATTACACTAAATAGGAGCTAAACCAAACTTTATTGCATTTTAATGCAACTTTCCCCTTGAGAAAATAAGGAAAGGTGAGAAGCAAAACTAACCATACTACCATTATTTTTGTAGTTGACATAAAAACAATGTCGTCGGGTAAGATTAAGCAGATATTACCTCCATCCATGAGGCAGAGAGGCTGTTTCCAAGTTGGATATTGTTTTTTGTAAGGTATGCAATTTTTTTAAGTGGTGGCACCATCTGACTATAAGAAACAAAATATGAATATTTTTCACAAAATCGTCATTGGTCTATTGGTTAGTTCTTTGCTTTTCATATGTGAGGTCCTATGTTCCGAGTCTTTTTATTGCAATTTTTTTCATAAACATAACAAGTCTAAAATTATAAACTAAAAACTAAGGAAAACGACATAAACGGTATTCGAACCCGGGTTTGGCGTGGAAGAAAGCCCTTGCAAACCAACTCTACCAAGAGAAACGACATATGGTAGAGTTGGTTTGCAAGGCTTTTCTTCCACGCCAAACTCGAGTTTGAATCCCGTTAGTGTCATTTTCTTAGGTTTTAGCTTTTAATTTCACATCTATTATGTTGGTGAGAAAAATTGCAATAAARGACGTAAACACAGGACCTCACAAATGAAAGCCAATGAACTAACCAACAAACCAATGATGATTTTGTGAAAAATATCCCTATATTTGTTTCTTATAGTCAAATGGTGCCACCACTTTGAAAAAAAAAATCTAAGTCCGTCTCTGGATACATCAGATATGTTTGGTTTGGGTTTAGAAAAACAACATCCGCATCAGAACGTTGTAGCCTCTATGGTGACTTGAGTCGTTTAAATATAAAAAATCAAATTTTRCAATCTAACCTCATTTCGTAATCTCTGAAGCGCCCGGGTCGACAAAGTGCACAAACTCAAACCAAGGTTGTTCATTTCATTTGAAATGTCACTGTCTACCGAAATTAGCTCCAAATACATGCTTGCAATCCCTTCTGCCAATGTGATAACCATATCTTCCAACACAGTAACCCCGTGTAAAGTAAAGAAGTTATAGTCATAACAGCATTCCTGGCTGTCAATACATACAGCATCAAGAAAAGGTCAAATGAAAACACTAGACATTTAAAGCTTTGWGACTCATATATAACAAGATAATTATGCAATGTCATAAAAGTCGTAATATGTTTTTGTGGCTGGCCATCAATAAATTGCTTCAGGATCTTCCTGTGTCGWTTTAGACACATTGTGCACGATAACAAACATTCCTTCAGTAAGACAGGAACATAATGAATATAAATTCATGGGCTCACTTTAATTAAAAAAATGGAATCTTTCGTCTGTCAAAGGAATTGGAATTTGAAGAAATTGGAATGGAATGTAACCAGAGATTCAGGTTTGACCGGGCGCTTGGTTGGCAGGAAYTGGAATGGAATCTGTTAAAAGAATTTGAACCCGTCTGTTTGGTTCGTTAATATAATAATGGTGGTGGGGTGTAGGCGGCAGTGGTGGCGGCGGCGGTGGTGCTGGTAGTAGTGGCGGTGGGATGACTGTGGTGACGGTGATGATGGTGGCAGTGGTGGTGACGATGGTGGCAGTGGTGGTGACGATGGTGGTGTGGGGTGAAGGCGACAGTGGTAACAGCGGTGGTGGTGGCAGCAACAATGGTGGTGCCGTGGTGGTGGCGGCAACGATGGTGGTGGCGGCAAAATGGTGATAGCAGTGGTGGTGACAACCATCGTGGTGGGATGGAATGGAGTAAATATAAGGGCATAATACTTTTTTCTTAAAAGATTGGATGAAGGAATTGGAATTCCATGCTAGAAACCTAAGGAATTGGAATTCCATGCTAGAAACCTAAGGAATTTACATTCCATGCTAGAAACCTAAGGAATTTACATTCCACCATATGAGGAATTCGAATTCCTTACCAAAACTCAAAGAATGGACCAAACACATGTATAGAATTTGGTCAATGGAATTGACCATTCCAGTTCCTTCAAATTCCATCGGATTCCAACAAACCAAACACCAYCTAGCCTCAAAATGAAGTACATGAAATAATCCAGAAAAAAGAGATGGTCGAAAGTGTAACCACTGCTTCTCTTYGGTTATTTACCCACTGGTTTTTTTTAATATCCTGGAATCTAGAATTTGGTCTTTGAACTCTTGATGGCTGCTTATAAATTGTAACTCTTGTGGCATCTCTAAGGTAGAGAAGGCATCCAATAGAGGTTSTGATGCCTTGCTGCGTTATATCAGACCGTCAAAATGACAGAAAACTTTCCAATTGTAGTACTTTAAGGGTGCGTTTGGTAGACTGAACAGGACAGAACAGGGTCATTGTTCCATGTTTGGCATGACTCTTTTTTATGTGGAACAGGGTGGAACAAAGTGGAACAGGCGTGTTCCACCTCATCTCCATGGAACAAGGTGGMACAGACCTATATTTTACCAATATAACCTAAAAATAAAATCTAATTCTTTTCTAAAACGTCAAATGCGCCTTTGTCTTTACATTTTATTCATTCTTTAAATTTTATTTTATGCTCTTTACTTTACTGTCCTCAAAATATGATTTTTATATGGTTTCTATATTTTGGTTAATTTATGTAACTTATAAATATTAATAAATAAAAAGATAATATGGAAAAAGTATAAAATAAAAATTGGAAACTACAAAAACTTTTTATTTTGGTGTCATTTTGATCATTTTGACAAAAGTTTCTAATAATATAGTTTGTTATAAAAAATATTTATTTATTAGAATTTAATAACTACATAACTTAAATATATATATATATATATATATAATATAAACAACTTATTAGGGGTAAATTGGTCATTTTATACCAAACTGAACAGCTGTTCTGTCCAGTCCCGTCCCATCCTATCTGGATACCAAACGCACCCTTAAAGTCATGGCATGGAATCCAGGTCTCTCTGAGGGYATCTATAAATTGTCTTACTGGATTCACACGAGCACAAACTACGCCTTACGAACACAATAAAACACTGTTAAAGACCAAAAAAATCCCCTGAATATAAGGTTGAAAGTTAACGGGGTTTATACCAAGGGSAAAAAAACGAAATGAAATGCAAACCACAATGATGAAAAATGTAATAAATGAAGACCATGGACGGAAACCAAAATTTCGAACAAACCCTAGGAAAGGAAACTGTAATTTACTCTTAAAACTAAAYGTAAAACAGACTACAAAAGAAGCTTTAACTTATTAGGAATACTAATGAATCGATGGTCAAACACTCAAACTCATTCCATATTATCTTTTACTCTATCAAAGGAGCAAAAGATCCTTTTTTGGCTCTACCTCTCTTTAGCCCTATGTGGTTGTGTCTATTATCCTTAGGAGGTCTTCCTCCATTAGCAGGGATCAAGAATTTCGATTTTTGGCAAGTCTCATGATCATCCAATAACAAATTAACACAGACAAAATGTAACACCCTAGGCTAACCRTACATGATATTGTCCGCTTTGTCAACACCTGGACTCACGGTTTTAAAATGCGTCCGATATAGAAGATATTCAGTTCCTTATAATKGCAACCTTTGTTCCCCACCCCAACCGATGTGGGATTTTACAAAAAAATACACAGTTAAAGGAGAATTAGGAAGAGCTAGAACTATACATTGGTACAAACATACCTGAGGGCACCAAATCTAAGAATGTAAACTAGCTCTGTATAGAGTTCCTCCTTGCCCGACTTTTTAATGTATTGTAAAACGGAGTCATACCCATCTAACTTTTCAAGCAAAGGAGACGGCAGGTCCTGAGGGATGGAAAAGATGTAAAATAAATTCAATACAGTAGTTTAAATCATATACACTTTTATTTTCTTGGTAGACTAGGAAATAATCTTGGACATTATTCAATATCTCCAAGATTATTTTCTATTATATCAAATATTCACAGAATATCTTTGAGATTATCTCCTATTCTATCACTGACACTCCAAGGTACCTTAATGGATCCTCTGTGTTTCAAAGAAAGCTCCTCTTTGAGCCAATCAATGCATACAGAAAGTGAAGATCTCTGAAGGATTTCAGAGAAACCCTTTTGCCAAATTTTCACATCTGGAGTATAAGTGTTTATGGAGATGTTATCCACCTGCAAGCAAATTACCAAACTTCAATACAGATGACCGGTATGCTTAATTTAAAGCTTGTGATGCTCTTRCGAATTTCATGGTAGCCACCCATAGGCTTCTATCATTCAGGGGGGTTGCAGACTTGCAGTTATAGGCATATAATGATTCTTCTCGAAAATCATTCATGGGCAGCAACACAAACACTCTTTTCCGCTTACATGCACACACGCACAGATTTGAATTTCTAAGAATTTTTTGTGTTATTTTGTGTTTAGAAGGAGCCACTAGCACAACATGATTTTCATATATATATATATATATATATATATATATAGAGAGAGAGAGAGAGGGGGGTCAGGGGAAAACCATAAAAAATTGAAAAATTGAGGAACACCCTGATACATTCATCTAGACGGTATGCACATGTGCATACAAGTAATTAAAGTTGTTTCTTGGTTTTTATGCACGCCTGCATGTTATGCACATGTGCATACTGGAAAATTGCTTACAAATTACTTGTATGCACATGTGCACGCCGTCCAGACGAATGGTTACCAGAGTGTTCCTCAATTTTTCATTTTTTTGCAGTTTTCCCTTGAACCTGACCCTATATATATACACATACACACACATACATATATTCTGACCATGAATGCTACCAAGTAAATTACTCAAAACACAGTTGTCATGCATATGTCTTTTTGCATGCGTTTTAATTTCATAACAGTGACCTTTCACCTTAGATATACAGAATTTCCCATTGCACCACGCCACTGATAGACGTTTATTCTTTATTGCATCAAAGGTTGCTGGTGCTAAAAACATTAACTTACAAAACAAAAATCATCCAAAATAGCAACAAATTTGAACGAATATCTTCAACCATCAAGCCAATGGAGCAACAGAAATCATAACTTTGATAGTCAAATCACATGGCCAGTAGAATTTAAATTACATAAATCTACAAAGTATTTGGACATTTTAAAAGTCATTTTAGTTGATTTTGTAACTACTATCACTTGGACTATGTAAAGTCAAAATGAAATAATATTTACAAAAAGAACARGGAATACTCCAAGGTTTAAAGTCTTAAATGGTCGACTTGTTGAGCTTTCAGAATTCAGCCTAGTTAAATGAGTTGTGATCGTTAGTTTACAGGTGGACAAGCACATAAAAATAATATGGTGTATTCAAAAGGGGAAGTGGATGAATAATAGAAAAAGAATAAAGGGCAGAGGGGGGGGGGCAAAGAAAATAACAAACTATAGAGACCATCAACAAATAGAAAGTGYGTTTGCCTCATTTTTAAGCCATTGAAAGGAAGCCCACAGCAATCGGAACCTGGGTCCTTCTGCAACAGCAGCTAAACATGAAGGTTGCTTCGCAATTTGTTCAGTTTCCATATTTCCATCGTCAAGTTTGGCCCCACGTTCAATCGCACTTATGGAATCAATAAGTTTGCCTTTCACGGTATCCCATGACAAGTTTAAGTTAACTTCACTGTCCTTRTCATTCGTTGCAGCACTGTGGGTTACAGAAGGGAGAGACAAACAATAGAACATATATGAGCAACAAAAACTAGGGGTTGGATTCCGGTGAGAATGGAAGTCATGGTGAGAAGGGTAAAAAGGGATCTCCACCCTTGGATCAATCCTGATTGAAGAGAACCACTAGATCAACACTAATGAGATATAACAGATCAATTCCTTCTAAAGCACAATTCATGGATTGTTTTGGGATTAAAAGTGATCAAGGGTCCAAATCTCTTCTTACACTTCTCACCTTAACTCCTATTCTCACACGATCCTTCATATAAAAACTAGTAGCAGAAGAAATTAAATTCATCTTCAGCAAAGCCAAATACACTAGATAAATCTTTTTTCCTGGAAACCTTGCTTACCTACCAGAAAAGATTGGTTCTTCGGGAGCAATATCATCAATGAAAATTTTCCTTCCAAAGTTTGTAAAGGACCTGTCAACAGGTAGCCCTCCAGCCAAATGTGTAAGAAAAACACTTCCCATGAGAAGCACTTGATCAATAACAGGGATCCACCCAGAAGCATTTGTATCAGTATTTATTAGATTCCCTGAACAATGACATTCCATTCGTCTATCATGACACTTTCTTGATTTTAAGTTTGTGGATTGGAGGCCACCGGGAATGGAGAAATTTCGAGTAACTCTGCCATATCGAGCATAACACTTCCTATTGATCAAAGGTAACTGAAATTAGAATTAGAAATAAATAGAATGTAGCCAAAAGAACAAACTTTTTGAAACGCTAGTAAGTTTTGTATTTCATTAATGCTCATCGGGTGTACATCTATGCTCTACCCTTCAAAGTGGCAGCGGACACGCAATTAAGCTTCAACTATATATACATATACCGGTTGTGTGATTTACTTCTTGGTTTTTCCTTTCATCGGTCAGCTATACAT